AAAAAACCGAAAAAAAAAAAAAAAAAAAAAAAAGCGCATTAAAGCCCATTATTTTAGAAAAGGCCCAATCTAATTGGGCCTAACAAATGTCTCAACTCAAAGCCCAATAGCACGGAAGCAAGCAAATCACACGCTGAAGTGAAAATCAGTGTTATCATATCATACTATTAATTTAGTATGTCACCAATCATTTTTAATTTTTTATACGGTGTGGCATTATTTGAATTACTTCATAAAAATCAACATGGAATCATATCTAACCACTTATTTTAAAATTAAAGTTTAATGTATTTTGAATTTTATGAATGCATACAATATCACAAAAATACAGTTGTGAAGCTAATTTTATCTGTCGTATTTGAGATATAAAGATTCCAATACGTGCGCCATGTATATTACATAATTCATATTATATATATGATACGTGCGTAACATACGACACATAATAATAGCGTTAGTTGCAACATATCAAAGACCGTGACCCCGTGTTCCATCGGAAGGACAAATATAGAATTTGAATGTTCCCTAAAAACCCTTGTAAGGGCATTTTACGTTTCGTGTTTATTAATTTATTGTAGATTTATAAAAACTAATTATGTAATGATTCAATAGCATTTTACGTTTCAGGTTTATTCATTTATTTATAGATCAAAGACTAATCGTGTAATGATTCTATGTATTATTAGCACAACCCTCGACGCCAAAAAAAAATACGAAACATAAATTTCATTTATGTCTAATTAATGTACCATGGTCACGATTATCGCATGTTTGAATTATAAAACTAAATACACAACCAACTATATCATATATATATATATATATTTGACAAACAGCAATGGAGCAACTGTTTATAACTACTAATTAATTAATTAATTATGTGATCTAAAGTATAATCTTTTTTCACACAAAAATATGCAACTTGATAAATGGAATATAAAGATTTAGTTTAAATATCTCGAGGATTTGTTAAAATCTCTTGAAATTATCATTCGATTTCCCCCCATATAATCCAAATCATATATATTCCTATTGTGGAAATTTCTTCAGTCAATTGCATCGATCCCTACAAAATTAGCTACCATAGCATACATAAAATTTCCCGTTATTTATTGTATTTATTTTTAATTATTTTTGTTCTGTCAGTTGTCCTCGAATTTCGGATACATCTCTAACGTTATAAACAATGGTCGGTCCGGTCCGGTCCGGTTTACGTGCATCCATAAGAACCTATGTTATGTATAGGAAAATTTCGTGTTGTTCGAGGCATCAGCATAAGCGACATCGAAACACAATTTGTATTATAATCAGGATTGTTTATTACTTGGATTTATAATGAATTTAAAAACAATACGGTCTACGTAATTTGCATATTGTTTTGAAAAATATTATGAGCTTTTGGTCACATGGCCCCGTAATTAAAATGAATTAATTTCTTTATAACTTTTAGTAAAATTTTAAATAAATTATTAAATGTCCCCGTAACAAATGCCGTTGCCCTATAATGAAATTATTGACCCCATTTATTGTAATTTTTGGGACCGCTATTGTACATGAGTGTTTTTTAATTATTTATATATTTTCAGTTTGTCTTTTTATATCATATTACAATTAGAATAATGTGGTGAGACGTTTGAACTTTACCTCAAGGAAAAAGAAGGGGGAACATGTAAAGGCTATACATATATATACACACACGTATAAGTGTTAATATTCTCAATGTACGGCCGTATCTTTTTAATTAATAGCTAAATTTGGGTTCAGTGTATTCATGCCACAAGCTCGGTCGTTTTATATTATTGTTATTAATATAATAATATATTATTGTATGGTGGATGCATACTCTCACATATACGTGTGTATATATACACAATGGTATGTATATATATATGGTTGGGTATACCTAACAGTGGCACGCCCTGATTTTATCAATTTTGCAAAATAAATAACATGTCCTTCAGAACACATAACATGTTTCATGTATTCCAATTTAAAATAAAATGCATGTTTTATGTTTTCCACTTATTTTCTAATTATATATACTACTTTAGAATATAATTAATTTGATACGTTTTTTTAGATTATATATAAAAATAATTCTTATGAAATAGATAATTTAAATTTACGGGATGTCATTTTTTCGAACTATACGCATTTTTCAATCTTACTTAAAAATACGTCTACAAGTTAATAAATTAATATATGGCTGTTTAAAAGAAAATATTTTTTGTATTGTTTATTTTAAATATAGTTATTAATTTGTTATCAATGAAAAAATATCGTTCAGCAATCAGCAGTACATTTTCCAATAAAACCAATACATTTACATTGTAGAAAAAAACAACATTTTCAACGGCGACTTGGAAACCCCGAAGTCTTTTTAAATTTTAATGATGACTTGACTTAAAACCATTTGTTTTCGTTGACCATATATGTTTTTATTACATTTCAAAAAATTGTTGATGAAATAAAATAACAAATTTCTACCATATATTTAAATGCTTGTGTAAATATATAGGATAGTTTTTTAAAATAAAATTATATTTTAATAAAGAGAATATGGATATCTTAATAGATATATTTATAAATATATCCATATATGCTAATAACATGTATCGGAATTTAAATTGTTATATTGATAACCTTCTAAGTTCTAACAGTATCATTCAGTACAACATTGATCAAGTCGAGTCTCATCAATTTTTTTTTTGTGTGATCTTTATATGCGTATCTTTGTTGCAATTATATACATATATATTATATATGTACAAGTGTATATATTGACTTTAAATTTTTTGAATTTTTTTAAGTAAGCGGAAGATCGAGCCATAAGATACGATCGACCGTATCTCCTCCCATATATGAAATGTCACATGCCAACATCACTTTAGGATTGCCGATCTTCATGACATTGACTTGTGCGTACAGAATTTAATCTTATTAAAGAAAATACAAATCGTTTTTTAAAATGAAAAGTCAAATAATAAATATTCGCTGAATCTGATTGATATCAACCCTCCTCAGCCTCTCTAAGTCAAATTCTGAAATTATAAGTGAATAATAATTTAAAAAAAACAATAAGAAGAAAAACAAGCACATATCAGTAGTGTTTGGTCGTTTATATCTGTTAAATACGAGTATTTATGATTTATATTTTCCCGATTTATTAATTTGTTATATCTCTCTTCTTCTTCATTGAGTAGCTAAGTAATATTACGTGTGTATAAATCATTTACGTACATAAATCAATTAATTTAGAGAATAATGGTTATTATTGATATCTCTCTCGTTATTGTATATTAACTAAGTTTTTTTCTGATATCTATCAAGTAAATGTGGTATTTTTTTTTCCTCTCTAGATATTCTCTTATTATCTATGAAATATTATTTCTTTTGATTCATTTTTGCAATTATTAGTTCTTTAGTAAAAATTATCACGACTTATAATTAAATAATATTTCAATTTCTTAGTCGTTAATAATTGTTTTTTTACTGTTGAGAAGAAAGGGAGAATAGCACAAAACAAAGAGAGCCAAAAAAGCCCGAAGACGGGGGAAAGAGAGTGGGGCCAATGTTTAATTTGCCAAACCATGGTGCCTGACTGCTTGTCACCATCATATATATACACACACACATATATATAGATGTGTGTATATGTGTATGTATGTCGAGATGTCCACGTGGCGCTGTACTGACGCGTCGACCTGAACTTCTATAGCATTGCATGTGGTCTGATTCGCATATCATTATGATGCATCCTCTATATATTTCGTTCCCGTTCACATTTGTATATATCCCACGTTTATGAAGAATGTATATTGATCTTTCATCATTAATTGCTACAACCCAAAAGAAAACTCACACGAATACCATGCACATATATGATATACATCATACATGCCATGTAGCTTTAGCATTGATTTTTTTATTAAAAAAATTTGGGTTACAGTTTCCATTTATTATATGTAACAAAAATCTCATGAGTATGTATTTTTTATAGTTTATATTAATATGCTAACTAATGCATTTTTCACAAAATGTGTGTGTGTGTGTTTTTTTTTCTGAGCATTTATTTATACATAATTTTATGTCAAGCTTCAAACCACGAACTGTGGCACAGGGGATTCTGCAAGAGGACAGGGAAATGAGACAAGATCTAACGATTGTAATTGTATGTACGGTTTTAGGGTTTCATAACGTGTGTATGTATATGTAATATGTGTGTATATAAAGATTCCAAGTGTAACAACAGTAGGGTCAAAAAGAAGTGATGATGAAGGGTGTCGCAGGGGAGGGGGGGCCTCCAAAGACACGGATTGATTACAATCATTTAAATTTTTGGACAGACAAAATCCGTTCGAAATCCATTCAACTGTTCAATTGCATGTCTGATTCCGACAACGTGGATCGCATTTTATGACCACTCAAATCAATATTCCATCATCTGTCTCTTGTTATTGCCTTCATATATACTTTCATATCATATAGTATTTGATCAGATTCGTGGAATCCTCATATACATTTTTTTTTTATGGAAGTGGATTTACTATATATGATATGAGAGACTAAATCTTTGGATTAAATGAACGTAGGCGATTTTATATCACAAAAAATATATATTTAAAAAAGAAAGGTGAATGTGAAAGGGACAATATGAAGTGAAACCCACCAGGTCGATCAGAGAGTATGATGAGTTTTGATTGTGTGTATGGTATGTTCATGACACGTCGGCCACTAACTTGTACACGTACATGCATGATGATGATGATGATGACCATGACAATGGGAAGCAAATCTTGGGAAGAAAATTGCCATGTCGTTTGCCACTACCACAGCTCTCAGCTGCTCAAGATACGGTAAGTGCCACTCTTTTTTCACGTTAGTCTTTCCATATAAAAAAACCATATTATATAAATTAAAGTGGCATATTTGCTGACGTCACATATATCTCTCCAGATTTAGGCGGGCCCCGTTTAATTCATAACAGAGATTTAAGAAATCATGACGAAAGAAAGTCAGTTGTAAAATAACGTAACCAAAGGTTAACAAAACTCTAAATGACTTTGCAGTGAAAGATATTCATTTCTCCAGAAATATTCGTCTCTAATCTCTATCATACATAGTCTCATAATAATCATACATACATACATACACACACATATATATATATATATATTATATTATATCTGTGGAATGCAAGTGGTGATGGTGGTGTATATAAGCAATGGCCACCTCTTATCTGATCCTAAAAGATCCTCATACAGATTTGTTTCGATTACTTTATTCATTTTCAGACTTTTTTTTTTAAATATACTTTTTCTTGGCTGTCTCCTGAATAAAAATGTCTCTCTTTCTTGCTTTCTTCGTAACTCAAAGCTAAGATCAAATACAGTGTTTTCCTCACCCCCTTTGCAGAATTTGGGGGGAGATATAACCGCATCTTGTTTGATGCAAACCCTTTAATCTTCCTCTCACTCTAATTTCAGCGACGAGGTTTGGAAGAAAGAAACTGAAACGGAAACAATCCCAAGGAAAAGAAAAGGGGATTTTCCGGGGAAAGAGGGGAAAAAGTCGGAAACTTTGCATCTGGGTTTGTCGATTTGTGATCGGATCCGAAGCATTTAAAAAAATGGTAATGGGTATGGCAGCAGAATCGCAGTTCCATGTATTGGCCGTTGATGACAGTCTTTTTGATCGGAAGCTGATTGAGAGATTGCTGCAGAAGTCGTCGTACCAAGGTGAGGCGGAGATTTTCTCGGCTACCAAACAGGGAAAAGAAGAGCTGGAAACATTCGAGGAAGATCTAAGGCTTTGTTCTTGTCTTTGCAGTGACCACTGTTGATTCAGGCACCAAGGCTCTCGAGTTTCTGGGTTTGAGAGAAGGAGGGGACAACAATGACACGAAAACGCCCTCTTCATCTCCCAAAAATCATCAGGTTTACTTCGTTCTCCTTGTTCGAACTCACTGAGGTTTTGATTTCTTCATCTTTCTCTGTTTCGGATTTACAAATTTCAAATTTTTTGGTTGTTGTTGTTTGGACAGGAAGTGGAAGTGAATCTTATCATTACCGATTACTGTATGCCTGGCATGACAGGCTATGATTTGCTCAAGAAAATCAAGGTATGTGTTCGTGTTTCTTCCTCTTTATTTGATCCGATTTGTTATTTTTCTCGGCATTTGGTTCCATTACCGGGAAATTGCTGCTCAGAATGTCAATCCAAATCTCTTTGGAAGATTATCCTACTCGCTGAAATTTCGTGGAAAGTGTTATAGAAAGTTTTTTCTGAATCTGCAGGAATCATCTGCTTTCAAAAACGTACCAGTAGTAATAATGTCATCTGAGAATGTTCCTTCAAGAATCACCAGGTAAACGCGATAGATTCCCTACATGTTTAAGAACTTATCCCATAGAGGAACGAAGTTTCAGTCTTATGGAGGATGAACTGGCAACTGGGTATTGTCACTTTGTGGTTCTGAAGATAAAGCTGGGGTCTTTAGTAGGATTTAAGCCATTGGAAATAGGGATTTAAGCCTTGGATGAATCTGCAGACATGGATGGGTGTTCATCCATGTTTTGGTCTAAATTTTGTTTCAGATGTCTGGAAGAAGGAGCTGAGGAGTTTTTCTTGAAGCCAGTGAGGTTGGCAGATCTTAACAAGCTGAAACCCCATATGATGAAAGCCAAGTCAAAGAACCAGAACCAGGATCAAGAGGGGATTGAGAAGAACCCGAAAGACAAAAACCCTACGAAACCAGGCACCGGAGAGGATTCTACGGATCAGGAAACGCTGTGTCTCTTACAAGGACTGGAACAGCAGCAAGAGCCATTGATGAATAACAACAAGAGGAAGGCAATGGAAGAGGGCTTATCTCCAGCAGCAGCAGCAGATCGAACACGTCCTAGATTCAATGGTATCACAACCGTGGTCTGATCTCTACCGTCTCTCTCTCTCTCTCCAGGGTTTCTTCAGAAGTTTCAGTCCGTAGTTTCTAGAGATTTTGTAGATTCTTTTAGGGTTTGATGGTATGGTAATGATGATGATGCAGAGATAAATGATGATGGGTCCTCCGGTGTTTATATGTAAAAATCTTACACGGTGAAGTATGTATCTTAATTCCAATTTTGTTTTCAATTATAAAAGAACTACTGATTCGTCTCTCTTGCTCTTCCTTGGTTTTTAACTATTTTCCCTCTCTTTCAGTTATTCGTTCGTAGAAAAAGACTTGCGATTTTATCAACATTGTTGGCTTTATCTGTTCGTTTGTTTGTTATGTCTTTAAGTTAAATTAAAACTCAAATTCTAAACTACACGCATTCTAAAATCATTAATTTTTTTTATTATATAAATTCTTTATATTTTATACATTTATAGAAATTTGATTCATTTATATCTACATTGATTTTGAGATCCAATGATATTAAATCTACCCTCACTCCCACTGATACAATGATTCGCAACTATTCCTGTTCCATCTTGGACTCCGTTATTAATAAAAGTTTCATAGCTCCTGCTTATTCCTCTCAAAGTGAAGAATTTCTCAGTAAATTTTTTCGAGAAAGTTTGTTCATCACTAAAAAAGTTCTCTTGAACAAGTTACATCATGAACGACGGCGGTCACAATCCCAATGCTCATGGCGGCTTCATAACTGCAGACGAGCTGTCCTATTTCGTGAGATTATCCGCCATATATGTAAATCATGGGTGCTTGAATCGTGGGTTTTTATTTCCTTTATGTTGATGTTCCAGGTTAAGGAACACATCGAGCTGTGTATTCAGAGATGCATGAGCTTAGAAGAAACAGAGCAGCATATACAGAGCAACTTCGGGATCGAATCCGTGGTCGTCAGACGCTGTAATAACCTTGGATCTCGTGAATTTTCTTTTGATGTTTTTTCTTCCTGACAAAACCCTAAAAGTAATTTCACGACCGGTGTAGTGTGGAGGCGACTGGAAGACGAAAATCAGGAATTTTTCAGGTCGTACTGTATACGAAGGAGGCTCGTGTCTGTGGTAAACAGGTTCAATGATCAATTGGAGAGACAACAGGAATTGATGCGAGAGACGGGAATGCTCGAGAGGCCGAATCACGATGCCGCAATATCTGGTAAATATGGTGTGGAAAAAAAGACATAAAAGATGCTGTCTTTTTCTCTTTTGATGCCCAGAGAATCTCTTTTGACAATGTATGAATCCAAAGTTTCGGGTTCTGGATTTGATTTCGTGAAGAACACGTTATGAATGTTTTCTCTGTTTATCCTCTTCTCCATTCTTCACAGGCCAAGACCAAGAGCAGGAGCAAGTGCAACTGCAACTGCAACCGCAACCGCAACCGCAGCTAATTCTTCAGTGGTTGCAAACGCAGGAGCAAGTGCTAAATCAACAGCAACAGCAAATTCTTCAGCGGTTGCAAACGCAGACGCAATCTCATTATCATCAGCAGCAAACTCAGGTTCTTCATCAACCTCAGATGCCTTCTCTTGGTAATCTTCCTCGCAAGGAAATTCTCTGACTTTTTCTCTGTTTCTCACCATTCAATACTTATTCCTGAAGCTTTTGGCTATAACACTACTCTGTTTTTTTCCGATGTTTTTGCTCGTAGATACTAATGGTAGCGTCCCGAATGCTGCACCAACTGCAATGTCTGGGCACCCTTTCGCCCCTGCTGTTCATTGGGGGCAGGGGCGAAAAGAGCAAGTACAAGTGCAAGTGCAAGTGCAACAGCAACCGCAACCACAACAGCAAATTCTTCAGCAGTTGGAAACGCAGACGCAATCTCATTATCATCAGCAGCAAACTCAGGTTCTTCATCAACCTCAGATACCTTCTCTTGGTAATCTTCCTCGCAAAGAAATTCTCTGACTTTTCTCTGTTTCTCATCATTCAATACCTATTCCTGAAGCTTTTGGCTATAACACTGTTTTTTTTCCGATGTTTTTGCTCGTAGATACTAATGGTAGCGTCCCGAATGCTGCACCAACTGCAATGTCTGGGCACCCTTTCGCCCCTGCTGTTCATTGGGGGCAGCAGAATGGAAGAGGCTTGCATCAATTGCCACCCGAGGCACTGCACAGAAGAGTTAGATCCATTTCACGACCACCTCAAATCCAGATGCAGCAGCAGAGACGTGTAATGGATTATAGACTCCAACGAGCACCAAAACAGTTATTCGATGAAGTTAACCCCAACCAAACAAAATCTGTTGCAAGATTCAGTCACCAAGAACCGCATCAAAATGGAGTGATTCCTTACCAGACGCAATCTGAACCAAAGCGATGGCATCTTAATGGGCCTAACCCAAATCAAGACCAGCAACCTCAGCCACAACCGCAAGATCATGCCGCCCATAACAGCCAAGGACAGCAAGAACAACAAGAGGCCAGTGGTGAGTCTTATGACAAATCACGATAACCCTTCCCCTACCTCCTCTAATGAGGCGGTGAAATCATCTAAAATAGAAGGGCACAACGAAACAAGCAGATAAATTTTCTTACATACGCAAAAAAAAAAAAAAGCAACATTGATAAATTTTCTTTTCTTTTTGGTACTTGTTCTTGTATAGGGTGGAAGTTCATAACTGTGTCCATGGAAACGGGGAATGCAAACACAGACGGAAAGAGGCATGACGTTGCATGGGAGGACAACGCGAATGCTGAGAATGGTAACGCAGAGGAACAAGACAACAACGATACATGAATGAATATTGAAGAAATATGTAATATGTAGTTTTTATAGTTAATGTTCTTTACGTCATTTTTAATGGGAGGGTGCTTTTTTTAATAAATACCTTAAACAACAACTTCAGTGCTCTCTGCTTTATTATGAACTTCGGTTACTCAAGTTTTTGGCATAGAAACATAAAATACAGAACTCCAAGAACAATGTGATAAACTAAACTAAAATATGAAATTTATAGTTTTTGAAGCACTTAAACAAACAATGATGATTAGGGTTTCACAGAGGACCTGTCTTAAAGGCGATATCAAGATCAGAGATCAGGTCATCGGCATCTTCAATACCCGCAGATATACGAACAAGATCTTCCGTTAATCCCCTGGCCTCACGAACAGCCGCTGGTATACTTGCATGGGACATGAAACACGGCATGCTTATAAGGGACTTGACACTTCCTGCCAGCAAAAAAAAACACCACGACGCATGATTATTTCTGAGTTGCAGACAGGAAGCCATAGTTCAATGGTTATTGCAAAGATTAGAATTTACGGGTATGCTTTGAGAAGATGTAATGACTAACCAAAGCTGACAGCAATGCTGAAATACTTGGTGGTTTCTACGACATGCTTAGACAGAGCGACTGAACCCGTCAAAAAGCTAAAAACCGATCCTGCACCCTTTGCCTGCAGTAGTTTGAAAGCCATGCCCTACTATGTAAAGAGCTTGTATTATTTATATAGCTCGGCAAAGTTCTTCGGCTAGTTTCAAACCTGAGAAAAATGAAGATCATGACCAGGATGATTGGGTAGACCAGCATAGTAGACTTTCTTGACTCTAGGATGCGAAGATAAGTACTCAGCAATCCTGCGTGCATTTTCCTGAAGATATTTCCATACCAAGTAAGATAGCCAACAAAACGAATCAGACAGAAATCAAATCTATTACACAAAAACTTAGATTCCTGCCAACATTTGTGTTCAAAGGTGAATATAAAGGTCAAACCTGTTGCTTTTCTATACGTAAAGCCATCGTCTTGATTCCTCGTAAGCAAAGCCAGCAGTCAAAAGGAGCTAATCCAGAACCTTCTGCATTTTGGAGGAAATACAACTCCTTTGCAAGCCTGGAAAATTTAACAACATTAATAACCTTGTGTATGAAAACGTACCCAGAAAACAACTGTGATATAATCATATATAGAATCAGAGAAATGAATAGGGTAGAAACAACAAACTTTTCTCCTTTTACAGCAAGCACGCCCGCCATCACATCGCTGTGGCCGGCTATGAATTTGGTAGCTGAATGCATAACAATGTCTAGAAAGACAGAAAGACAATCAAAACATGAGAGAGTGAAGTTGATACAAATCTGATGCCATTTAAAACTCTGGCTCGCAGCAAACGCACCTGCTCCAAGTTCTAATGGCCGAGATAGCACCGGTGACATAATGCTGTTGTCCACCAACACAAGAGCACCATGAGCATGGGCCATTTCTGCTATTTTCTATAAAGACAACAAAAAAATAAGATTAAATGAATTGGCATCAAGAATCCTAGGAATTCTCCTGAGGATGAAGCTTCGGACTTTGAAGGGAAAGTTCGGAGAATAACTCTTATATCACAAATTTGTTGTCTGGGGTTGGTGGGACTCTCGAGCCAAACAAGCTTTGTCTGGGGACCAATAGCAGCAGCCACTTCATCTAAGTCACATGTGTTCACTCGTCTGCAAGATATCGAAAAGATTATCAGTATTCTAAATACAACGAGAGCCGATTATTATAGAAATTGGACAACAGGTAATACTAACTTAACCACAACACCAGATCTTGGAACTACTTGGGAAAGTAATCTGTCTGAACCACCATATACATCATCTCCAGCAACAATTTCTTCACCTGTGGACACATATTTAACGAAAGAATGAAGTACAGGACCACCAGGTTTCATTGGCAACATACAAAAAACAAACGGAATACAGAAGGGAAAACCACATGAAGGCATCTCGAGGGGATCTAAAGAATTTCCAGAGAAGAAAGAAAGCTGTGGTCAACAGAAACTGGCAAAGTTTGTCCGAAAATTCAATGCTTATATATTACCACTCTGAGAGAGTTTGGATAAAACAATTACCGGTTCCAACAAGGTGTGAAACAGCAGATAAAGCAGCCATTCCACTAGTAAAGCAAAATGCTCGATCCGCCTTGTCAAGCTTCGCCAGGAGACTGACAAACCACGAAGTAAAAGATTCGTTACTTGTACTCATTAAAATATACATCTAAGTCCAAGGAAGGAATAATCAGATAGTCTTACGGAGAAGTAACAATACCTTTCCAATGCATCCCTTGTTGGATTTCCACTTCTTGTATAATCATAAGGCCCATTCTCGATAGCCGAAGGCTGCAAATAAACATGAACAGACACCGATTCATGATCCATTCAATGATGATATGGATATCTCCTGGTTTGGCATTCAAGGAAGATAAGATTTTGACAATGCAGTTAATCGCTACCTGCTTAAAAGTAGCCGTCTGGTAAAGAGGTGTACTCATAGCATCAAATGGATCAAACTTATTCTCCAAGTTCACGAGCAATGTAGAGACACTAGGCTCCTTAATTTCGAGCCCTGGAACACAAAATCAACACAGAGAGCTATATATGATCACCAAAACGAACGATTCCAAGACATTACTTATCAAAGAAACCGACTCTACGAACCGGCCAAGCATTCCGAAGAACTGGTAACAATAGGGGAAGCTTGCTCATCGACCCTTTTCTCCATAACGCAATTCAACTTGAACCGGTTCCGATTCGACAGCTGTTTCTCCCAAATTCCAACATTTACAACCGCTGTATTGTTCGGAGGGTTCTTACTGAACAAACCCTTCAGCCAAACACCAGATAGAATCAGAAATCAAGAGGCGGAGATTATTCAACAAGCAACGGATCACCAAACCAGTAAGAACCGGTATAAAGGATCATTCTTCATCTTGTAAAGAAAGAAATTCGAAGAAAATGTAGAGAAAATGGACGAGACGGCTAAGCGAGAGCTTACGCGGTCGGGGAGATCGACGAACGAAGAAGCGAAAGAGGGGCGAAGTGATAGAGAAGACGCCATTTCCGGAGAATTCCAATTAATGGGTTTTCCGTTCGATGATCGATTCTCAGGCGAAGAGACTTCCTACTTTTTCAGGGAATTGCGGCGGAGAAGACGGCGACAATGGGTGACGAGTTATAGCGGCGGCGGCGAAGGCACCTAACAGATGATGAGAAGTGAGACCACTTTGTGAACTTGGACCGTTGTGTAGTATATGTTCATTTTTTCGCAAGTGTACCATATATTATATTTTGAATTCGGTTTGCTATGTCAAGTTTAGAAATTAAACTGTAATGTTTGTATTATTATTAATTATTATTTCGTTTTAAGCAATTTTTAAAAAATTCTTTTTATGTAGCAGATAAAAAGGGAGAGTGTTGAAGCAAATTGGAGAAGTAGATTTACAACACAAAATAGGTTAGGTGGAGACACAAACAATGTAATATACAAATACTAAGAAGCTCATGGCGTAGAGAAAAGAGTGTGGAATTGATTAGTAAAAGACAAAAGGATAATCTAATGACAACAAGTAGATTCCCTCCCACTTTGTCCAAACTTATTCAGGACCTGTGCCTGAGATTTCTACGGCTACTCCGTACTGTTTTCACTTCAGATTGCTTCTCTTGGCCCTTGGCTTTGGCCCCTCCACCTACAAACATCACCAATCTTTGCTTAGTTACCCAACTTTGCGCGACTTGTAGATAGATCCAGTCATTGGCCACACCAAAGAAGAAGAAAAACCCAGCTTTAATGACCATTTACCCCTTGTCTTGAGTTTCTCTGAAGGAGGATGGCTGCTGGTCACTTGTTGCTCAGAGTCAGACACTGCCTCTTCCTCCGATTCTTCCTCGGATGGATCCGCAACTTCGCTCTCTGACACATCTGCCAATGACACCAACACTGTTAGGTTAAGATGCTCATTTTGTCTGAGACTTTTTGAGGGTTGTCGTCAGTTGAATGCGAATTAACCCCTATTATGCTTAGCCAAAGTCTCGAGCAATTTACAACTAACCTTCACCTTCATCATATTCCGGAATTTCTTCTTTCACTTTGCCTGAGATTGCTACGCCTTCCATCTTATTACCAGCTTTCTCTCTGTGCATCTGGGCGTTTCTTTCAGTTTCTTCTTGCTCTTTCTTTTCCGCATGGAACTTGTTGAGTTTCTCCTCAAATTCATCTATGCATGCTTTTAGTTCCGGTTTTGCAAACTTCTTCCCCTGTTGTTCAGGTCAAATCCATATGAGAAACTCTGACGCAACTTGAAAAATAAATGAACAATAATGTGGAGAAGAATCATCTAACCTTGTTAATTATGCTTCTAAAGTTTTCCATCACTGAATCTTCTGCTAAGGCATGCCCGTAAGTCTTGAAGGACTCAATGAGCTTTTTTATTCCCTTTTCCGTGAATGTCAGCAGCGAAAGACAATATGAGATGTATTCCCACTGCTTTGTATCTGTAAATGGGGATGTGACTTCATACTGAGATATTTATGTTAAAACAGATACCATATATTATGGATCTCCAAAAGATACGCGCATACCTGTGACTCCGCAAAACCTATTGCAAAGCTTTTCAACCAAAGCCTCCATCTGTTTGTCCTGAGAATTGTTGATAATACATGACAAATGGATGAATAATACTGATAAGACAAAGCCTACAATAATAAACTTCATTGTCAATAGATCTATACCTTCTTAATGGAACCAATTAAGAACTGCATAATGTTACGGAAGGACTCCCTCTTCAAATCCCGGTTGGATAATTGCCCGAGTATGTCAGGAAGTAGATTGTATATGGGGTTGGACCCTGTGCTTGTTCAGAGCAAAAGATGTTTAGTGAGTGTCCATTGGATACAAAAACCGAAGTGACTCTCTGTCATTTAAGTTTGGTGTTGCTACTAACCTTTCTTAGACAACTCATGAAAAAACAGTTTAGCAAGACTGGAGATTCTTTCATCGTCATCTTCTATACATATGGCCATTTCGTTGATATAGCCTTTTACCTGAGATCACAGTATCAAAATGAGACTCTAGCTAGAGCCACGGAAATTTTAGAGAGATTCAGAGGACACATACCTTCATCATATCGTTCAAAATGAGATGCGAAAGGACCAGGACTGCATTCTTCCTGACAGAAACTGAAGCATCTCGTAACCTTCCATACATATTTTCCGTCCAAGGCTCTAAAAGATTTGGAAAACGAACTGCCAAATCTCCGAGGGATACTGTGCAATTTGACCGGACAACTTCAGATGGTGCATTTTCAACAACTGTGAAGAGAAGCTGGAGGTTGGACTCACTGAAAGACATTGAGTTTAAATCTTCAGTAGCTGTTTCCGTATAGTTAAAGCAAACAGGATAAAGATTAAAGAGAATATGAGAGGAAAGATTCATGAGGCTAACCAGAAGTTAGCGTCAATGATCATAAACCTGCATAATGCAAGCATTGCAGAAGCTTGTAGTTCTGGATGCTGAAAGAGTGGAAAGCAAATTATTACTCTATTTATCATAATTGGACAGAATATGTTTCTGAGAGCAGCAGAATGGGAAGGAAAAGCACCAACTTAGATGCAGGTAAACCTGTTAACACACCTTTTGCAGCAGAGAAAAATTTCTACAAAGCTTTGAGAGGAAAGTTGCACAGTCCCCAATCAAATTCTTCTCCCGGGAACCAGCAGAAACAATTTCTCTCTCTGTTCTTTCAGCGAGTGTATCAAGCAGCGCATCTTCAGATGCAGCAAGTCCTAGCTCAGCATTTATACTATTATTCTGTTCAACAGAGACAATATTGCATGAGATGACACTGATGGTTTAACAGCACTATCTGAAACATAAAAGGTACCTCTTGTGCAGGTCCTAGGTTGTCATCTGCATTCTGATTATCACCAGCTGCCTTTTCTTTTCTGGCCTTTTGTTTTCTGATCTTCTGGATGCAGGATTCTATGTAGACCAATTGGTTCATGGCGATGTGACTTACGACAAACAAGAATCTACTGAGTTTGGCAGCTTGAACTGTTGTCAGAAAATCAACATTGTTATTGTCGGCATCATTCTGCGTTTCATCTTGCCCGAAATCACCAAATACCATGTTCAGGGACTTTTTAGCAATACTAGAAGCCAAAGTTTCTGGAGTTGGGTGAATCATGTATATGGCACCTATGGCTTTATCTGCAGCAGCATACCATATGTTTTCTGGAAGCCAGTTTCCAGTTATCAAGTTTTCAAGAATACCAAACACTCGACTACCAGTGCTGAGTAACAGCTTCTTTCTGTCCTCTTGGGAAAGGCGCTGAATGGCAGTGCATGCTGTTCTAGCAAGCAGAGGTTCCACTTTGGCCCAACGACCAAATCCAATATCTATTATATCCTGTATATGAGATCCAAGAATCCCAGAGGAAGATTTTGCAGCCATGCAAAGAATAGATAAAGCACCACGACTTTGCTGCGCAGTTGTTCCATTAATGTTAAAGCAAAAGAAGTCCCAGAGACTTGAAATCTACAAGAAAGATGACAAAAGTTTTGTTAGCTCTTTACATTCCTTCCGAAAACCCCTTTCTTTTAAGAATGTGGGAATTGATTTTGGTCGTTGTTTATTCGAATAGTTAAAACTAAACATCTAAAGAGCATGTGAACTCCATAACTTCAAAAAATCCTAATCTACTGAAGTTAGAGAAGGAACTTACAGTGCTGCTAGATATATCACCTTTTGACACCAAGGCACTGACAACGTATTCCAATGCTGCTAGATCCCCTATATTTGAATCTGTAGCGAGATTCACCAGCTGTTTCGCCGTTTCAACTGGGTTTTTACTTATATAAATTGAAATGAAGGCATTCTCCACTGCCTCATAGATCGACTTATCCTGAGAAAAAGCCTGCAGAGACGAGGGAAAACAAAATTTGTCATGCAAAAGACATTAAGGGCTCTTTCTCCATTATGCAAAAGCAAACATTGCCTTCAGAAATGTTTGCTCATGATACTCATGAAAAAAAGAAACCATACTAGAGGCAGCATTTTCCGGAGAGAGGTTTCTGCGCCATCAATCTGAAACTGCTTACACCTCATCAACAAGAGAATAGTGTTCTCCACGTCACTGGCAGAAGAAGATGCCATTAGTTGAACTAGTATAGGCATAGTAGCTGACATGCACTTTGAAAAACTCAACCCGGCCTCGAGGGAAGCAATCAAGGCCCTGGTCTGCTCCAGGTTTCCAATATCTGGAACAGATTCACCGTTCTCCTTAATTTCGTCACCATTCTCTTCTTGACAGCTGTCAGTTAGGCTATCTTGATGCATCTTATTGGTCACAGAAGGATGCAAGTCATCGACTTCACCATCTCCACTGCAAGAATCACCATCTGATGGTACATCTTTTGAAGTCTCATCAGTGGAAATGTTTGGTTCAAGCTCATTCAGTTTTCTTTTATACTGCTTCAAGGTTGCTTCAAATGATGCTATCCGGAGTTGTGGACCAAAAGGGTTATGTTGCAACATCGTGATCAGTAAGTTCAAAGCATGTTTTCTAACAATCGCACTCTTATCTTCCAGTCTTCCAGCAGAAATTGATGCAACTTCATTCCATAGGCCAATCGAGACAGAATGCTCTTCACATAGTTCAGCCCATACCTGAAGAACACGACTTCGTGTATAGGCTGAAACATCTCTACATCGTTCAAGCAAAATTTCCAACATGGCTTGCTTAGTTCGAAGACGAAGGGACTTAGAACTCACATCACCCTCAGTGTCATTAAATGCTTTTGCAACTAATTTTCCAAGAACTCCAACCAGAGCATTTCTTATCTTGTATGATTCACCGCCGAAATGAGGTATCAAAACTCCGACATTTGTTGACATTAGCTTTGGCAAACGATCAGCAAGCTCAACCAAGAAACGTCCAACATTCTCAGCTCCAACTGTATCTTTCACAAAGGCTTTCGGGTCTGTCCTTCCAATCTCTCTGACGAGAGAAACAGCCAAGGTACCATCAGAATACTTACTTTCAGCTCTAGAAATGGCATCAGCAATGTGTGCTACAGCAAAATCGTATTTGTGAATCAAGTGCATAATTGAGGCGCATGATTGCACAGTGTAATGGTATTTTGTGGCACACGCCCCTATGATACGGCACAAAGCAACTTTTGCCTCTGTGTCTCTCAAGACTGCGGCATTCTCGAAGAGAGAGAATGAGTTTCTACAACAACAAAAGAAAATTACCCATTACAAGATTGAACAAACGCTAAGTAGGCAAAATCCAAACAGATTCAATAGGTCACAGAACTTACTTGGCAATGAAAGCGAGGTAGTTTTCATCTAGGTTAGATGATCCAAAGAGCAATGATAGGTTGATCTCAAGCGAATTTGCAATTACATTCAGTATCCTACCCCTCTGAGGTTCCCAATTCCATGACTGCAGGGTTTGCTTTTTCCTCCCTCGTGCCGTGACCTGTTGACCGATAATATGACTTTGGTAAATGGAAATAAGAAAAAAGACAGCTATAAATCATGCAACAGATATGAAGCTGTAATCTGAGAGGACCTTTGTGCTGTCGATTGAGCTGCTGTTCGATTCTTCGGCCATAACAATAGTGAAGAGAAAAAAAGTGTAAATCTTCAAAGCATTACGATATGAGGTGATCCTATCAAGGATTGGAGCATCATCATCCTGATCTTGAGAAGCTCGAGAGATGGAATCGACATTTGGAAGAAGAACACTTAGGTTGGACCGAAGACTTTCCACAATGTTACACTTGCAAGCTGGAGAAAGATTGCAGAAGCCATGGACCAAGGAGTAGACGCGATCAAAAACATCTTGATCTTCGACACAGAAGAGCTCTCTATCAGAGAGATCAAAGGACACACCTGTTGCATGAGAAGATAAAATCAGAGACAGAAAACATCATTGATTAAAACACAAGTGTAGTTGACAATGAAAATTTCTAGTAATTAATGTTCCAGTCTCTCTTTTTACCATTCACCAATGCACTATACAACTTAAACTATAACTATTAGAGGGGATACATTTCAATTTCGTTTTTTCTCTAATATTTGCTTCCAGTCTCATGCAATATAACCCAAAAAGTATGCAGCTAATTCAAGGAGATTAGATTCAAAGACCCAGCAGGGGAATTAACAAACGGCATACATTTGAACGCTTTAGCTTCAAAATTTGACACTGTAATGAAGATCCGTGAAGTTTGGACCGCCATTTGACGAAACCAGACATGCAACTGGGCTTCAATATATTTCCTGACGCAGCCATATGAAAGTTTCTCCCAATCTTCATCGATTTCATAAAATTGAATTTCACTTAAAAACACAAATGCCCACTGCCTAAAATGCGCAATTCAACGCTTTCCTCTCGAGCTCCAGCGAGTAGACACTTGGAATCTCTCCCAGAACGAACTTGCGAAGTAGTTCAAGGGTTGCATTGGCAGTCAATTTCTCCGGAACCAGACAGAAAATTAAGGCAATAGATACATACATAGACTCAAGAAATGGTGACAGAAAGACGAGAGGGCTTCACCTTTGACGAACTCCTCGAGTTCGGAGGCGCGAAGGGAGGCCACATCGGCGGTGTTCTGCACGAACAGACGATTGTTCTCCGGCTCTTCTTCCAAGCCCCGCAGATTTTGGGGGAAAACAAAGGGCGGAGCCATTTTCTAGAGAGAGAAACTGAGAGACGATTGAGAGAGAATTTCACCGTTGTTCCCCCTTTTGGCGTTGGATCTACGGAACGAATTTCAAACGAAACTGAAAAAAGGGAGCGGAGCGGGAAAGATTTCACGGACGGACGCAATATATCGGGTCGGGTTGAAATCCGGGTCGGATCCAAACCGGATTATGAAAATCCGCATCAATTTTATTTTATTTTATTCTATTATTTTCTCCAGATGTTTTCTTAATCATTCAGAACTAAAAAAGTATATATTTATAAATCGCATCACTAAAGTAATAAATCTACAGACTGGCATATATAAATATATATACACATATAAAATGTAAAATATGGATGAAGAAAGAAATATTTTCTTTTCCATTATAAGATGTGTTTTTTCAAATATAAAAGTATAATATATATATATATATATATGATTTCTCAGCCTCGAATTTATTGACCGATTGATTGATGTCTCCCGCCGACGCTCTGGTTGGTGAATCGGTGAACACGTGGCCATATCTGATTGGACAGAAGACCCCCGCGCGTCCAGAGAACCGAACATCCATCGATTTTTCTTCCTCCTGTTCAGGGAGCTTGACCATGGTAGGATTCTTCTCCAATGGCTTCTCCGGCTCACCGACTGCGCTAGAGAGAGAGAGAGAGAGAAAGAGATCATAATTTCGGTGCGACTGCAGCGAGGGTAAGATGGCGATGCCGGTGGGAATAGCGATGTATCTGGCGAAGATGGTGTGGATTGCTCTGAGTGGATGGATCTTCACCTGCGTCTCCATAGCCGACGAGATCGCAGGTTGTCTCAGAACCGGCGACATCGGCGCTTTCCATGTCGGCTGATCGATTCTAGATCCAATCCCTCTCCCGTGCGTACCTCTTCTCCTTCTCGATTTAACACAACTGCTTCGTTTCCGTTTCCCGATCTGGATCGCTTCGAATCCACTCGACAGATAGGAAGTATACAGGCTATATAATTGATCGAAGAATCCTCTGTGAATTCCGAATCCTGCAAGTTCCCAGATAAATTGATTGTATAAGCTTGTGTCCGTGATCGTGTTTTGCTGTGAATATGGAAGATCGAACTTGGTTCGTGCATACGAGTATTGTTGCTGGTGTGTAATTAGGGTTCTTGAGTAAGAATTTCATGGAAGGTGTGTCATTTTCCGACACTGGTTTCTGGTTAATGCATAATTCTGAGACTTTCTGTCGTTCTTTGGGAGAAAATCCTATGCCCATATCTTTCTTCAACCCTTTTAATTCCGTCTGATCTTTCCGAAGATTAGATCTTTCGGATGCAGATGATGTTTTCAGACAGGTATTTCATCTTCCTCATCAAATACGTTGTGCCATGCGTCTAAGATAGAAAGGCCAATCCAGTGTGAAGATAGATAGAAAACTGAAAAGCTTAAGTAGAATAGAAGTTCATAGATATTTGCATACTTTTATTGTAAATGTTGTGGAATACACGATTGGTTTAAAGTTATGATGAATATATATATATATATGGGTATGACAAATTTTGTATTTGAACTTAGTTCAACCGGTGAAATAGAAATATAAAACGTCGATTTCGTCTCGAATTCGGGTCTCAAGTTGAGAAGAATAGCGTAATTTCAATCACATGTATTGTTTTCGATTCCAGAATTAGTCTAGATTTCGGTCCAAAATATCCGGCTAACCAAAAAATATTTTGTACTTAGCCTTCTCATGCCTCATTATATCTTAGAAGTTTCTATAAAGTTGTATTTGTTTTATATATATATATATATATATATATATATATATATATATATAACATACACACGATGCGAGAGCAATAGTTCATGAGGAATACACAAAGTTAAATATTAAATATATCAGAAAAATAATTCATATTTGAATTATTTATCTATAGATTTAGTTGCAGTTTCATCTAAAATGTAATTTAAAATGAATGTGCTAGACAGATTTCTTTTGTATCGAGAAAAGTTTTAAAAAAAAAAACGGAAAAGATGACGCGGATATGTTTTTACTTTTAGATGTTGAATGGGAGGTGGTTTTCGGAGTTTTTAGATTTTAAAAACTGAAAAAACCAACAATCAAAAAATCTACTTTATGGAAAAAATCAACTAAAAACCAAAAGCTATAATTTTTTAGATTTACAAACTTATAAAATCCAAAAATCAAAAACCAAAAACTAAAAACTAAAAACCAAAAACTAAAACCAAAAAATCAAAATAAAAGCCACTACCATTCAAACTTTAACAAAAGGTGGTGTTAAACTTAAAGCCACGAAAATACACGCATTTTAGGGGTATTTGAGTCATTTCAGATACTTGATTACCGAAATGACGATAGTACTCTCGTTCTTGTGAGAAATATCATGGCGTCCGTGTGGAGCGAACAGGGCTGGAAAGGGAATACGTAAATGTTCCGGGTAAACATGGCGGGGTTTGACCTTTTTACATGTGTACACGTGTAATATTCTTATTGGTTTAGGAATGATTACGTGGCTGCGCAGAGAGTAGACGTGGGAGTACGTTTTTTTTTATATGGAATTTTCCCGTTCTTGTGAGAAATATCATGGCGTCCGTGTGGAGCGAACAGGGCTGGAAAGGGAATACGTAAATGTTCCGGGTAAACATGGCGGGGTTTGACCTTTTTACATGTGTACACGTGTAATATTCTTATTGGTTTAGGAATGATTACGTGGCTGCGCAGAGAGTAGACGTGGGAGTACGTTTTTTTTTATATGGAATTTTCCCTACTATTATAAATAAAATCAAAATTTATCTTCTTCGAGATCAAATCTGGAGTTATTTTCTCTTTTCACGTGGGCGAATATTAAAATCAAGAGTAAGAAATAATCATTGCATGACCAAGAATATCGGGATTAAAAAATATATCTTATAGTAATCTATATATTCAAAAATTCAATGCGGTGTTCGATTTTCTCCAAAATACTAGTAGTGCTGTTACCGTAGATTGGATCGTTTTATTTCGAGTATGCTAAATTTAGAATCGTTTTTAAATAATATTTAGATCATAATCATAAAAAATCTATAGTATATCTTGAGAAAAATCTAAGAAAAATCATAAAATTCATCATGTCCAAACCTATATATAAACCCACGACCTCTTCTCCCATGTTGGCATCGTACGTCGCTTTGAACGTCCACTTCTTCCACACCGCAGAAAAAACGGCATTTTCATGTTCTTTTCGTTTGTCAACTTCTGTTTCTACGACCATCCCAGAAAGTTAACCTCTTAACCAATTCCCATGGCCACGTCACCTCCGACCAGATTCTCCAACGTTGTACGCATCAAATTCGAGTTCTCGCACGTAAAATCGAGGAATTCACGAGGCCTAACTTTGATCCGGAATGGAGGCTCGTAAAATCTCGAAGTTTTGATTGATCAAAGGGTAAGGAAACAAACCATAAAAATTGTTTCTCCTTTTTTGCGTGCGTTCATTTGATTTTGAAATCCATTTTCATTTTGTTTTGTACTTGTGATTTAGCTTCTGCATGAGTAAATTGCACGAATTGCTTCGAAACTTAAAAAAAAATACAATATTCGGTCTCCTATTATTCCTTTGGTTGTTTTTGTTATGTTTGGCAAGTAGGTTACTTGTGGATACTTCGATCAGAACATTGAAGGTTTAGAGAGTCAGAATGTTTTTCAGCATCACAACAAAAACTGCTGGTGATTTTCTTTAGTATAGTTATTACATTATGATCATCATCAATATTGGACCCGCTATAATGAAAGGTAATGAAATAACTTCTAACATTATTGGAAATTGAAACTTACAACAATAATTGTATGTGAACTACAATAAATCCAAACTAATACTCCATCAGTTTCTAAATAAACGAAGTTTTAGTTTTTTTTTTCCACAACTGTTAAGGAAATGTAAGTTAGATATTTTTAATTAACGATAAAATTGTAATTTTTTGTAAAAACAATCTAGAAAATCTAAAACTAGCTAAAACGACATCCATTTAATAACAAAAATATATTTTCTAGAATACAATTTAATCTTAGGGTTAATTTCAGGAAAATACCCCAAATTGAAATATTTTTCCATAATAATATCCAAATTTAAAATTTAGCTAATTAATACTCGGATCTATATAAGTCCGAAGTCCGTCTCTATTGATCTCGGATTTGGATTGGGTCGGATCGGCCCGTATAATTTTGCTTTAAAAAAATCTTATGAAAAAAATACATTTACAAAACAAAATTATACGGGCTGGTCTGGCCCAAACTAGATCTAATTCGAGTCGGAGATCTATAAGGATGGGCTTCGAGCTTGGTAATTTAGGCACGAAAAAAATCTTGTCGACCCGACCCCAAAACATTTGGACCGAGTGCGGGCTCGAGTCGGGTCGAACATGGGAGACATTTACAAATGTGGTTATCAATTTGGAAAAATATTTATAAATTTGGGTATAAATTTGAAAAGACGTTATAAATTGTGTATTTTTATGTTAAATTTATAATTTGGATACATATTTGGAAAAAAAATCAAGAATTCAGGTATTTTTCTAGAATTAACATAATCTGATCTAGGTATCAATTTGAAAAATATTTGCAAATTGAGATATTAATTAGTTAAATTTTAAATTTGGATATTATTATGAAAAAATATTTTAATCTGGTATATTTCCCTAGAATTACCCCTTATTCTTATATGGAAGTCTAGTTTTATCAAATGCATAAGGTGTCAGTTTCAGTGGGTTGCTTACAAAAAGCTGAATTTACAAACTTCAATAACCGGTGAATCAGTGCTCCGTCTTGAAAGAAAGCCGATCGACGCCAGGAAAATGTAGCGTGAGCTTATTTCTTCATGTAATGGCCATTAACGTTGAACCCTCCATTGATGTTTTCTTGCTGCAAACGAAAGACAGCAAGATTAAAACAGTTGTATGAACTGTGGAACTTAACTGTGAAAAGAGTGAGTTGTCAGAACAACAAAACCCAACCTGATTAGCACCTTGAAACTCAGATTTCGGTATCATCTGATCACTGGAAGATGATGTCGAAGGAGGTTGTGGGTCGAAATATTGGCTGACGTTTTCCGTACAGGGTTCAGGATTGTGTAAGAGAGAAGATAAATCATGGGAAATGGGCAATACCGGTTCGATCATAGGGACCAAACCGATGTCATCGAGGTTCCAATCAATAGGGTTTCCTTGGAAAAAGCTGTCCATCATTTCGCTATCTTCCTCGTTATTTCCCATCAGATTACTGCTACCGTTACCTATGTTTTGTAATCCAGGAACTGCAACAGAAACTCGGTCGTCAAACAGAGCGGGTTGCCCTAACGGCGGCGGAGGCGGATGTGTAAGAACATGATGATGGTTCATCATACTGATATGGGGATATGCAGAGACAGCACGTTGTGGGTTCAGGCCGTCGTTTAGATGCGGGACTCGATCGGGTCGTGGTCTGGGGTAGGGACTCGCCATGGCTGAGGTCGGATATTGCATTTGCTGCGGGTAGATCCATCGTGT